CACAACCACATAATAACAGTGCACCCTAGTTCTAGGTCATGACTTCTCCATTTAGTCCTACAGCTCCTGTCTCAGATTCTTTATGCAAGAACTGATTTCTGGGAGAGGACTCTGATTGGTTCATCTCATCTTTCTGAGCCAGGCACAGATTTATTTCCTGCCTGTCGATCAGCTGCTTTTAAATCAGGTATCTACTCTCTGTTCCCAAGGTGGAGGAGGGCAGGATCATGAGATGAGATGTAGAATGTGGCCTTGTTCAATCAGCAGGAGCTGTCAGCAGGGCAGTTTCCCTCACAGAAGGGACTCTAGACCTGGCAGGCAATGATGCACATCTCTACAACAATCAGCTCTTGGGGAAAACTGAACTGGCATGAACATTTGACAGGGGACAAGGATTTGTAGTTGGAATGCTTTATAATGTTTATTCAAATTTATGAAAGATAAAACAAAAATGTGTGTGGGAGCACTGATTCTTTAACACACACACACACACACACACACATTCCCTTTCTTAAGAATTCTTTGAAAAGAAGGGATCGTTCATATGATCTTTCTGAGTGGATGCAATATTACTGGATGTTAAAGCAATATTTTATCTCTTCCCTAACAAGCTAGCCTGAGAGGTGTGCTGATCATGGAGGCAGCTCATAAAAGACTCACTTTTCCAACCCACTATAAAGTCTCAGAGCTCATTCTGGTAAGAAGCAGACCTCAATAAAACACATAACCCTTTTTCCTTATTCCAGTGCTAGAAAATGGATTTTTATCAAATGATTTCTTATGATAAAGTGGCAAATTATAAACCGTCTAATGCCAGAATTCCCTGGCACAAAAGTTTTGAGGAATACGTTAAAAGCTCAGGTAGACCTGTTAATATACATATTTTTCATGATAAATAGTGATAAAGGATTTCGAAGTATTTTATTAATACTGAAAGGAAAGGTATTTTCATCTAAGGCAGGGTTTCTTGGCTTTGGCACTGGTGACATTTTGAGCCAGGTGATTCTTTGTTGTGGGGGCTGTGCCGTGTAGTGCATTATGCTGCGAGGCATCCCGGGCCTCTACCCATAGGTGCCAATAGCACACACCATTACTCCCAGTTGTTGTTTGGGGTATTTTTTTAAAGATTTTATTTATTTATTTGAGAGAGCGAAAATGAGAGAGAGTACATGAGAGGGAGGAGAGTCAGAGGGAGAAGCAGACTCCCCGCCGAGCAGGGAGCCCGATGCGGGACTCGATGCGGGACTCGATCCCAGGACTCGATCCAGGGACTCCAGGATCATGACCTGAGCCGAAGACAGTCGCTTAACCAACTGAGCCACCCAGGCGCCCATCATTACTCCCAGTTGTGACAACCAAAACCGTCTCTAGACATTGCTAAATGTCCACTGGGGGCAAAATTGCCCTGGGTTTAAAACCACTGATTTAACCTTTAGTCTCCACAATAATTATTTTTATTTATGATAAATATTTTCTTATTCCCCTAACATTTTTAGATTTGAAAAGTATGCCCTTTGGGAGTGTAATCGAGCACTATTGATTTGGTATCCTCTCTCTTGCTTTTCTCCAATGAATCAAATTCTCTCATGCCTGAATTAGCCTGACCAATTTCATTAGCCAACTCACACCCATTAATCCCCTTAATTTGCGTCAGTGTCAGAGAACCCCTGTGGCCCATAGTTTCTAAATATGTCGCTCTTCCTCTCACAGAGTAGCTTGCATACTTGAGAAAGCTGGTTGAACAACTCTAAGTACATCTCGAATAAAAATCGTTTTAGCGTTCTTGTTCAAAGTATCGCTACCTTTAATTTCTTTCTGAAAAATTTTCCATCCTTCCTTGAGTGCTTGTGCTTCGGACTAATGAAGAATTAATAGAAAATCTGTTGAATGAGAGGACAAAATACAGCAATTTTAAGCCTTTCTTTTCCATCTAAAAATGTAATACACCAAAATGAGTCATAGACAGATGTCACTGTTAATATTTCTATTAAGATGCAGCTAGAATAATTTATTTTAAATACAGCAAATAGTTCCTCAGACATGTAAATAATCAATTCTCTCAGAGAGAATTTGCCTATCTCACAAGGTTGTGAGAACAAAATGTGACAAGAGATATGAAAAACTATGAGAACCACAGAGCACAGAACATTCTCCAGGAGAAAGAGATTGTTGTTATGCGTGCACTATAATAACAAGTAGTACAAAAGGAGATATGGCTGTATTTTAAGTCTTTCCATGATGTTCATCATTATCACCATGATTATCATTATCTTCAAAAAAGTTTTCATTAAGTTTATCGATCTCATATGTCCATATTTCCATTTATCCTGGAATCAGGTCATAGATTAGAATAATAATGCTAGAAATACATAAGAAAAGTTGTGAAGGGTGCCACTTCCAAATGTAACATGATACAAGCAGAAATATTTTGCACCGAATTACTTTTTCTTGCAAATAGGGTAATAAATTACTGTTTTAATTTCGAACCATGATGTGATTTTTAGCCCATATTTAGTGAAAACAGAGTAGGAGTTGTGTAGAGCAAAGGTCTCACTGCATGCGTACAGTTCTCTCTCCACAGGAAACAAAACAGTTTCCAGAAAAGGAAGAGAAAAGGTCTACACACATGCACACCCATGCACCCATGCACACGCGCTTACTTAAATCTATGCAGAGATTACTCATGTGTACACTATTTTCTCCTTTTGACTCTCCATTGTTTACTTACCACAAACTCATATTTTCATTATAGTATTTATTATGAGTATTGTTCCGCCATGATAACCCTTTTACTTTACAAGAATAAGTTTTTCCCCATCACACGCCAAAGCTCTATTGAGAAAAAGGTGGAATAAGAATTTAGCCCCAGGGTCTCATCGTGAGGAAATCCTTTGTCCCACTTGTGAAGATCTGGAAGCTAATGACTATTGGGCATGAATACTGAAACAGTGTATTCTGTTGCTGACTGCGCTGCTCACGGAGGCAAAGTTTACATTAACATGTCTGTGGCTAATTATTAATTTTCCTACATTGACTGAATTACAAATAAGAACTGGACACCAAGCCTTGCGATTGATTACAGACAATTGCTTATTTTCATTGTCAGTGGGGTATTTCTGCCTACGAGGGTTTTTTTCCCATAAACATCTCTTTAAAAATAGAAATGCTTAGGAAAATGAATATGCACACTCAAAGTAATTTGGAAGCATGATATTAATCTTTAGATAGCAACAATTTTGAAGTTAATATATTTGTTTAGCATGTTACAGTTTCTAAGGAGGCTTCCCCATAATTTTCCCAAGTAATGTTTATAGTAAGCCAGTAAATGCTATTATTTTTGTTTTAAAAATGAGCCATCTGATATATAGAGGGTTAAGTTCATTGTGGCTACATAGCTGTACATGTGCTAGATCTTAGAATCAAGGTATTTTGAAATCTAAGACCCAGAATCTGCCCAATTCATTTTTCTTCCAAAAAGGTGTTATGTTAAGAAATTGAAGACAATACAGTTGAGAATAGTAGCATTTGAGAAGGGAATTGTATGTAACACTGTGGATTTTCTTTTTTGTTAAATGTAGGTAAGGTGGAAGGAGCTTTTAGACCTTTAAGGTGTGTGTGATTAATATTGTGTGATTAATAGTGAAGAGCTAATGAACAAGAAAAGATGGCTTTGAATTATTGCACAGTGCCTTCTGAGTAAACAGTGTAAGTGTTCTTGAATATAATGGTTAAAGGACACTGGAACTCATTATCCAGAATGAATATTGTTTTATATTTTGGGATTTTTCAGAAATGCATATAGATCCATAAAGCATTCTAAATAAAGTACGGTTTGCCCAGATGTGAGTGAGGTATGATGTGGTTAGTTGTGTAGACAACAATAAAGGTACACAGACATTGTGCAGGAGTTCTGCAGTGTTTTCTTAACTGCTGCGAAAGCATTCACAGTCACTACTGATAAATAAATATCCTGTAAAAGAAAAAGTGAACTTTCTATTTTTATTACATTGGGACTCACATCTTAAAGACTATGATTTTACTGCTACCATTTTTTAATGGACAATTACTTTGTATTACTAGAGTTCTTTAAAAACAGACAGCTAAAACTCAGATAATCATCATGGTTCCTCTCTAGTAGCTTGATTTATTTATTGAGCCCAAATCTTCCTGTCTCTCACTGCCAGGGGAAATTTGGGCGGAAAAAAAAAAAAAAATGCAAAAGGACGTCCTTAGTGTTACCTTTTACAAGAGGTGAGGAAACAAACTCAAATACAAACCCATCTCTGAAGTCAAACCAGTTCTTAAAACAAAGCAGGCATGAGATAAGAGAGAAATAGTTGAGCAGTTCCACCACTGATTTCAGTTCTCAGGCCAAATAAATATCTCCATCCAAACGTGCTTTATAAACTACTTTTTAGTACCAGTAGACAAGTTGTAATTTGCTAGAAAGATCCAGATAATGGTAATTGATGACCTTTATAAGGCAAAGAGCAGTATTCATTCAAAAGGCATTTGCAGTTTGGAAAACACCTCCTTTCAAGTGCATCAATCTTTAGTTATTATTGAGCACACGTTTCCCCCCCACCAAATAGTACCATAAATATAATATCCAGAGGTAGATTTTTGTGAACATGGATCTCTCAGCACAACTTTCCTTTATGACCTCACCCCATGACCATTACCTTAACTTCAAACCTCAAAATTCAATTAAATGGATTTTCCCTACATTGGAGTGAACACTTGTGCATGCCTTCAGTTATTGCTCTGGTACTTCTAACCTGTTGGTTGCCCTATACCTGGAGGTGCAGATTTCCGTGTATTCAGGTGTAACTTCGGGGACAGCAGAACAGTGGTCTCTGGGAACATATGATACCACAGACTGTCACTTTCATGATGAAAGGCCTTTGATGATGATGGTGATGATGATGGTGATGATGATGATGATGATGATGATGATGATGATCAAATTTTTTGGGTTTTGTGTTTCATTTGTTTCACAGGATTATACACTCACCATGTATTTCCAGCAGTCTTGGAAAGACAAAAGGCTTTCTTATTCTGGAATCCCGCTAAACCTCACGTTAGACAACAGGGTAGCTGACCAACTCTGGGTGCCAGACACCTACTTTCTGAATGACAAGAAATCATTTGTGCATGGGGTTACGGTGAAAAATCGAATGATCCGACTGCATCCTGATGGAACGGTTCTCTACGGACTCCGGTAAATGACTTTGTGTTGCATGGTTCACTGTTACTGTTGTTCTTGTCGTTAGGTTTTATTTTTTACTTTTGGGAATGGGCAGTGGGAAGAGAAGCAAGTAGGAGAATATAGAGACACTTTCATCTCCATAACAAAATTAAATTAAAGACTGGAAAATCTCTTTTGGAATCATTGGAGTTAAACCTAGGCAATTTTGTTCATCAAAGGTAAGTGAATTATTTGCCCTGAACTTCCAATAATAAACAGAGTAATAAGAAAATGTATGTTTGCCAGATTTTATATCTAACTTATTGTAGAAGTTAAATCTTTTTTTAGCTGATTGCTTGATTATCTCAGAGCCACCCAGACCGAACTGAAATGTGTTCTAAGTGCTTAATTATGAAAGAGAATTAGGAAACAATATCTTGAAGAAGTAGGAAAATAATTTTTGGTGACTTTGAGAAGATTCATAGTGTTTTCATTCCCTTAAATCCCTCTTTTAGTGTTTGCATTTAGGTATATGATCCATATTGAATTAATTTTTGTGTTTCATGTAAGGTAAGGGTTGAGGTTCAATTTTTTCCATAAGAATATCCAGTTATATAATTTACTGAAAAGATTCTTCTTTTCCCACCAGATTGTGTTGATGCCTCTGACTGAATAAGTGGGGGTCTAGTTCTAGGCTCTACTCTGTTCCATTGTTCTTTTTGTCTATCCACAAGCGGTATCACACTATTTTAATTATAATAGCTATATGTTAAATCATAAAATAGTGTAAATCCTCCAATTTTGTACTTACTGTTTAAGATTGCTATGGATATTCTAGGCCTTGTGCTTCTTCCTATGACTTTTAGAATCAACTTGTTGATTTCCACCCAAAAATCTGCTGGAATTATAATTGATATTGCATTGACTCTGTAGATCAATTTGGGGAGAATGAATATCTTAAAATTATCTAATATTCTAATCCATGAATATGATATACCTTCATTTATTTAGATTACCTTTAATTTATATCAAAATGTTTTGCACCATAATGGGTTTTATTTTGTTTATTTGGCTTTTTATGTATCAAGTATAAAAGAGGTATGATACACCTGTAGTGGTCTATTATTAACCCTCATTTGGTTAATGGTTTATTAAAAATTTTAGAGCTATAATTCAAATCAGCTTCCCATTTTACCAAAGAAATACCTGAATTGTGGCATATTATTGTAGGATATGTAGAGTGGTGGTTCTTTAACCTTTGTTGTCACCTTTCATGATATCTTTGAGAAGCTGATGAGAGCTATATTCACAAAATCATATATGCGCCAAATTTTCCCATTAATTTAGGGTCTTCATAAGCCCCCTAAAACTCTTCACACACCATCCACACCAAGCTAAAACTCTAGACAAGGGATAAAATGCTACAATTAATTTCTGTATATTCACAGATACCCAAAAACAATATGCAAGTGAAAAAAATTGCACTTTTTTTTCTGCACTAAGTTCTGCACTAAAACTTCTGAACTTAACTCAGTGGTTGATTATTTAGTTGATCGTTCTGGACTTCATCTGCATAGTAAAACAGCATTAGTTGCAAAATAACATTTGTAATTTCTCCACTTTTTCAGTACCCCAAGAGCTTTCAATTCTAGTTTAAAATCTCTGACCTAAAAATCTCTCAGAAAAATGGTAAAATAAACCAACAATTCCCTTGAGTGTATTGATAGTTACTACTGACAAAATCTCCGAATCCAAAATCAATAGTGATCATCAGTGATGGTGCCTACACTGGAAATCAGTTGTAATTTTTTGTCACCTATGAAACTTCTACCGGATATAACCAAGGTGTAAAGGGACAAATTACTCTTCTAAAGTATTCTGGGAGAATAATTCCATAACCCAACGTAGTAGGCTAATCAATTACATGTATAATCACTATATGTGATTAGTGAAGAATGTATAAAAAGTTGTTTTTGTTTAAAAGAAAAAGGAACCAGGTTTTTTATAGGCAAGAAAGTAGTTTGCATTCTCAGTTTACAGAGTCTCACTTCAGGCATTTCTCAAATTATTGGTAGCCTCTACCAATGGGAACTGATGGAAAGGGAGAAAGATATTTGAGAACCATGAAGTTGAACACACCTCATTGTAAACTGATAAAACCGAGGCACGAAACAGGAAGGATTTTTTCTAAGGGCACAACAAAGTAATGGCAGAATTGGGGCTAAAATCCAGGTATCCTGATTCCCATACATGTGCTTTTCCTACCCCACTGCCTTTCATACACATTTAGAAGTCAACACCTCCTTCCAAGTTGTACAACGTTGCTTTCTTCTCTTTGGAGCCAACCCAGGCTTGGAGGCCCCAGACAGATCTCCCAAAGGTAAACACAAATCCTCCCTTTATTATGTGAACTCTGATCTCTTTTGGCACCAGCATTCTCCGTAAGAGCTTCACACCATTTCTGATATTTCTCTTTCCTTGTTTTCTTCCCTACCTCTTCCCCCCAAAGGTTTGTTTTTCTTTTCCTGGAGTTTATAAACATCCTGGAGAAACCATAAGATATAGCAAAGAAAGCATGACATCTGGAGTCAGAGGACCAAAAATGGGCTCAAACTCCAACATTTCTGATTGTTTGACCTTGAACAAGTGACACAAATTTACTGAGTTTTAGTTCTAGCACCTGCAATAATGGATTAATAATCCCTGATACATAATTGGGAAATTCTTATGAAATAATGATTATGTTAATACATGGTTAATTCTAAATTATATTTTTCTAAGTCATTGTGCCTTATATAGCCTTATTAGGTGCTGGAAAAACTGCACATGGAGGGTGATTCTCTAATTCCCAGGGGCGTCAGTGACCAAAACAGAGATACAGTTGTCCAATTAAAAACAAAACAAAAACACATTCAGGGACATCTGGGTGGCGGCTCAGTTGATTAAGCATCCAAGTCTTGGTTTAAGCTCAGGTCATGATCTTAGGGTCTTGAGATCAAGCCCCACATCAGGCTCTGCGCTAAGCGGGGAATCCACTTGAGATTCTTTCCCCTCCCTCTCCCTCCCCCTGTGCCCCTCCCCCTGCTCACACAGTGCTCCCTCTCTCTCTCTCTCTCAAAATAAATAATTTTAAAAAATTCAATGAGTGCCCAGTATATGCCATATATTCACTGTTCTGGCCCTGGAAATAATTCCTCAGAAGCCTGATAGAAATTTGTCATTGTGGCAGAGGGAAACTGTGCAGTGACTGTGGGTCAGAAGACTTGAGGCTGAACTAGATTGTGCTCTTCAGTAAGCTATTTTCTCCTCTGGGCTTCAGATCCCTCAGACTTAAAGGGAAGAGATTGCATATAATTCTCCCTAAATTCCCTTCCAAATCTAACTTTCATTGCTTCTATGGTCCTATATATTCAGGCATGCTTATTTTAATTCTTCTGATATAACATTTCTTAGTCTTAGAAATGAGGATCTGCATTTTTTTTCTTTGTAATTGCCTTTTTAAGGGTAACTGCCATGTATTACTTCCTAAGCACATGTACTAGAAAGTCCTTATCATATAACATATGTATTGGCATATTTATAGCTGTACTTATTTTAGACATGGATAATGAGGAGAAAGAAATTCTTGCCTTATCCTTTTCCATAAGTCCAGCTAATAGTCATTATGAAATGAGGCCATACACTAACGGGTTGTTTTTAGCATTGATGGGATCAATGGGATTTTCTGAATGTAACTGAAAGCCCCTTCAACCAGGAATTCCATAATCACAAGACCATATCATTAAGCTAAATAACAGTGTTTCTATATTCAGACTCATTATGAGATGCTCAGACAATGGGTAGGAAGCCACAGGAATAAAATTGGTGGTTTTCTATTTTTGTGAACTATGTCAGATCAGACTTGCCACACAAGGAAGGCCACACAATTGTGATAACGCTTTAAAAAAACAGATTGGTGTCTGATGCGAGTCTAGTGCTTTTGGAGGAGCCAGGCTGCTGTGCGGCTGGCGCTCAGCAAATAGAGGAGACTCCATTCCTTATGTTTTTTGCTACCAGGTTACTGCTGCTGTGACAAAATGCATTGTAGCGCCACACTCACTATTACTTCTTCCATTTTGCTCGAGATCTACATAAAAGATGTCTGTGATGTGCCGTAAGATGTGGCAGGAGACTGGAACTTACGTCTGTGTCCCTTGACCGCTCCACCCTGCTCCTTTCAAAGCACATAATGGCACTTCTTTCCTTACTCAAACGCGGAGACTGAACAACCAGATTCCTCAGCGTCATGGCATCAAAGCCTTAAACTTCGGGCTTTCCTCCCCTCCATTTAACCCTGAGGATGATTTTCTCCTCTTTCGAAGGCCAATCTCTCCACATATGCATTTAATTTTCTTGCTGCACACCCTTTTCAGACTTTGCTCCATTCTTTTAGCAAATCTTCAGTCTTCCCTCCCCACTGGCTTCTTCCCCTTGGTTTTGTCCTCAAACACCAGTCCTCTCACATCTTACATCTTTGGTTTCCTCTGCTCTCTCACCATTTACTGCTCAGTCTCCAAAACCGTGGCCCCACCCATGCTACTTTCCTGAAACAACTCTCCAAAATTACCAGCACTGTTGCTGGTTCTCAATCTATACTCTTGGGTTCTCTGAATGATTTAAGAGTGGTGACTGACCTGGACTTCAGGATTTCCAAGACTTGGAGCAGTTTTTTCATTATTGCTGTTCTTCTGGTCTTTTTGCTCTTCCCTCATTGGTTCCTCTCTGGCCTCTAATGGTGAATTAGCGGGATTCCTTGAGGTTTGACCAACTCACTAAGGTGACAGCTTAAATATCTAAAATCCCAAATTATTGAGTTCAGAAAAATATTTGTAATTGCTTACTGAGCATCTGTATCTGGACGCCCACCTGGCCAGATCCTCCTGACATGACCCTTGTTTCCTATTATCTGTTTTTTTTTTTTCTAAAACCAGATTCTCCTCCTTATACATCTGCTAACAAAAATCGTCATCCTCCAAGTCAATAGGAATAAACTT